TGCTAAGCGCAAGGGAAATAAATGATCGGGTGGCACCCGAGTCAAACAACACCTGAACAGGAATACTTTTCACATGGAACGATCCTAAAGCATATACACGGAGCACATATCAATATTATAACATCACAAAAATAAAGTAGAGGGAAAGAATCATACCCGTCACCACATCGGGTGCGGCGCGTGCCTCTTCTGCAGTCAGCTGAAACGCCCGGCTCGTCACCACTGGAGCCTCTACCTTGCCCTGCCGGCCATCTGTAATTCGCAGGGTAGCTAGAGCTGGCGCCTTAACCGGCGCTGATGATGTCAACTGGGGGCAATTGGCCTTCTTGTGGCCCCTCTGGTTGCAGTGGAAACACAATAACTCAGACGTCTGTAACACAGGTGCAGGGGCGGTACAATCCCTGCTGAAATGCCCCGACTTGCCACACTTATAGCATCCCGACGATCCCAGTCTACATGCCCCCTCATGAGGCCTGCCGCATTTCCTACAGTGGCTCGGTCCTGACTGGCCTTTCGGCCTACCATCTAATCCCTTGGGCTTCTTCCCCGAAGCCCCTCCTGTCTGTCCCTCCTCTGTCTTCCTCTTCTGGGCGTGCTCCGGATCTATCTCTCTCTCCCTCTCCCTGGAAATCATAGAGTCCAAGGTAGGGCAAGCTGAAAAACTGACATGCTCTCGAATATCAGCTCGGAGCATGTCATGGTAGCGGGTCCTCCTCATGTCCTCATCACCCGCATACTGGGGCACTAATAATGCCCTCTCCCGAAACTTGGCAGTGATCTCCGCCACAGTCTCCATCGTCTGCCTCATGTCCAAGAACTTCCTGGCCAGCTGCTGACGCTCGACAGCCAGCGCAAACTCTATCCTGAACTTGGTCGCAAAGTCCGACCAGGTCATAGCCTCAACAACCGAGGCTCCCAACGAGTTACTCACGGACTCCCACCAATCCCTAGCTCGATCTCGTAAACACCCTTCCAGAAACCTCACTTTCGAACCCTCAGGGCAGAAGCTAATCGTTTGTACAGACTCGATGTCTGCAATCCATCGCCTGGAAGCTATGGGGTCCTTCACCCCGTGAAAATCCGGCGCACCACTGCCCATGAAGTCCTTGAAGGACAGTGTGCGGGATCCCGACTGACCAGATGCCATGTCGCTCCTGAATGCCCGGAGGCAATCCTCCATCAACTCCAATACCCCTTCCTTGATCGACCTGAAGATAATGGGGGTCGACTCAAGGATGCCTCTGGTGATCTCTAACGCGATGAACTCGCGTAGCCCCTCATCTACTGGCTCGGAACCTGATCCGGAACCCGATCCCTCTCCTGTACTGCCAACTACTGGCCTCGAGCGTAGTACCACCATTCTGAAATACAAAAGAAATAACAACTGTTAGCGATACTGATACCTCTGGAGGGATCACACCTACTACAAGTTCCCTGGTCTTATCTTGGCCTTCCTCGGTTCGGGTACGGATCCTCTGCTTTCAGTAGTACGGGCCCATACTACCTTCCACATCTATCCGTACCTTCTCCAAAGACTGCCTTGACTCTACCAGGCCCCTTCCACTACTGTTGATCACTGCTACTCTTATCCTAGGCTTTCCCTAGGAAACCTATGACTCCACCCATCCTAGTCCTTAGCTGTTGAAGGTCTCATTGTGATGCCAATTAGCTATTACCTGAATACAATCACATGCGACGAGGCTCGGATAATCCTTCGAGTAAGGGACTCATCCCTACAACGGTTAGGACTCAAACAAGAGCTACGCAATAGAGTCAAATCCAACACTCTGAGATTATTCAACCCTGATCACATGTGACTTTAACGTATTCACCTAACAGCTAACTCCCATCACTTCAAAGCCCATATAGCACAAAGCAAATAGCATTTGGATATAAAGAAAACAATCTCAAGCAACTCTATCCTCGTAGAGAAAAACTAAACTAGCATACAATGATAAACTCGTACTATCAGCCATAACCTAAACATGCTACCCTACTGCTGTCTACTCAATTCTAGCATGCAACTTTTTCATATACTGAAGCACATAAAGCAGGCACATAAGGCATCATTCCTAGATCCTTAGTCCTATTCTAGCATGCTGTTCTACAGAAACTGATAAACATATATAAACTTGTATGGGTACATTGGGGAATACTTACTTGAGCTCGGCCGGTCGTGCACATCACACACCTCGTTCCTTCTTTAAAACTCTTTACTTAGCTTTTCAGAAAGTATTTTATTCTTTAAAATCTTTTAATCCCTTGATTTGAGTTCAGAAACCCCCGAAGGCGTGTCCGAATCCCTCAAACCAGGGCTCTGATACCAACTTGTAACACCCCAAAAATACGAGCCAAAAATTTCATTTTTAAAATGTGTGCTTAGCCAAAACATTAGGAATAAAACGTTCAATGATCATATCATTTCACAAAAGATATTGCATGTCTAGAAAACATTTTTATAAAAACAGAAACGTGTCAGAGTACAAATCCCCAGGTGATATCATAATGCGGAATATAAGCATGTGTGTGATGTACCGCTACCGCGCCAGGTCCTTCCCCTTCGAAGAAGAGGTACCTGAAATCAAAACTAAAAATTGTAAGCACGAAGCTTAGTGAGTTCCCCCTATCATACCACCTACCATACAATCACATATCATACATATTGCCAGACATTTCTGGGGTGCCCGACCTACCCGGTACGACCATTCTGGGGTGCCGACCTACCCGTGTCAAGTCATTCTGGGGTGCTGACTACCCATGTCGAGCTATTCTGGGGTGCTGACTACCCTTCGGTCCTAACAACCGAACCTCGGGGACTATTTCACCCCCTACTACTACTATCACATATATCATAACACAAACATAATATCAGACATATCTGGGGTGCCTGAGCTACCCTTCGGTCCTAACAACCGAACTCGGGGACTAGTCCCCTCCTACTACCTCTATCGCATATAACATAACAAGCCAGCATGCAAACATATCATCACATACTGTCAGACATATATGGGGTGTCTGACTACCCTTCGGTCCTAACAACCGAACTCTACTACTATCACATACAAACATATCATGCTAGCATATAACATATCAGGTAGTAGCAAACCTAGATGATATCACAAAGACAATCATCTATCATACATCTCCTACTGGTGGGCCGACATTGTGGCCTTAGACCCACCGCTACTGGAAGATAACTCACCTCGTAGTAGCTACTGATCTGTGTGGGAATGGTCTGTCTGCTGTTGCTGCTCCGGAAGTCCTCCGGCTGCAATTCCCACCAAACACTTAGTCAAATACTACTAACCGACCTCAGGGTAAACTGACCATTTACCCTTAACCAAACCATGAGTTAAAGTCAAAGTCATCTTCCAGTTGACCCGACTCGCTGAGTTGGCCTATCAACTCGCCGAGTCCCTATCCCTTTGTCTGACCACTATCCCGTCTCTACTCGTCGAGTTTGGCATTGACTCGACGAGTTTTCCTTCTAAGCTAAAGGCCAATAGTCCTTCATCCTACTCGCCGAGTTGTATGAACAACTCGCCGAGTTCTTCTTCATCCGATGAACACTCTATACTGGGACTCGCCGAGCTGTATGAACAACTCACTGAGTCTGTTCTTGAGGCAAGAAGATTGCCCTGAACTCGCCGAGTTACTACATGAGTGAGTCTGGCTTCCAACCTACTGAGTCACACCCTATGACTCACTACTCCAACCCGCAAACACGAAAAGGGGGAAAACTCGGGGACTCGCGATTCGACTCGCCGAGTCGGCCACATGCAATTACTATACACTCGATTTTTCTTGAATCCAGTTCATGCCATTCACAGATCTGGGTTTCTAGGGCATGGATTACACGTAAAGTTTCCAACTTTACGTGTAGATAATCACCAATGAAGGTTTTAGGCCTCAAAGTGCACCAAAAGGGGTAGATCTAGGGCTTTCATGCAATATGACTCCATAAAGGCAGTAGATCCAAGCTCCAGGGACTCAATCATGCCTAGATCTAGAGGCTAACAACTTATTACAACCCACAATGCACAAACAAGCTTAGGGAATGGCTCAAGAAGGACTTTCATGTAGCTAATAGAGACTACAAGCATGAAAACAGAGGGGAAACGAGTTATACCTCAAGGAAAACGCTGAGATGACACAAAGATGCCTGGCCTCTTTCTCCTCTTCTTGATCTACTCTTCTTTCTCCTCAAAATCTTCAAGAACACACCAAAACACTTCAATCTCACAAGGAATAAGGGTATAAACGATGTTGGGAGCTCTGAGGGTGAAGGGGGCGAGCTTAGGGGCGGATAAGAGGGTTTAAATAGGGTGCAAACCCTTGAAATTTAGGGTTTCATCAAACAGCGGGGACTCGCCGAGTCCAGAATATGGACTCGCCGAGTCGCCAACTTAAATGCGTTCTGGACCCCATCCCTACTCGGCGAGTCGGACCTACAACTCGCCGAGTCCAAGGCTAAAAATGACAAATACTTAGATAAATTTTACGTACCAGGAACCACGTGCTACAAACGTACCCGTAAAATAATGGGGTCGTAGTGCTCTTCTTCCATGATGGAGTTGCACACCAAGATCGTACTTGCGTGTTGGAGATCATAATGACGATCATAATTAAAAGTCGAAAGATTTGGAATCACGTGTCGGAATCGGAAATTGGATCAAGATCCAGAATAAATGCGAAGGTCCAGAATTTTTGAAATTTAAATTCCCGATCCGGAACTCAAACGAGGGTTAGGAATTGGAATTCTAGACCCACGGTAATGGGCTGGCCTACTCGAAAAATTGTCTGAAATATGTTATGAAATGTCCTGTTTCGAAATAAGTGGTCAATTTATATAAAAAATATATTACATTTGTGAAAAACACCAAAAAATTAATAAATAAATAAATAAATAAATAGGGGGGGGGGGGGGGGGGTGGTTTAAATTATTCAATTTCCCTCGATATCCCTAAATATTCGACTGATTAGTTTATATATAAAAACAATGTCAACATAAAACACAACACTATCTACAAAGTGTATATATCTGTTGATAATAATGTTAATATTGACAGTCATCTAATACCTCGGCCTACTGTTTCGACTCCATCACATAAAGTTACCCCGTGATCGCTCCACGTTGCTTCCCGTCTTCGTGATTGTAATGGTTAGCGTAAACTCACTTTACTACGCAAATCCAAAACATTAAAATGGTTTACTGATTTTATTCTTAGGGTTTGTGATCTGATTATTCATCGATCAGCTTTCGTTACTCGATTGGATTCCTATCATATTCTGTGGTTAATCGGAGATGGTTTTATCGCAAAAGCTCCACGAGGCGTTCAAAGGTACGGTAGAGAGGATCACAAACCCTAGGACTGTATCTGCTTTCAAAGAGAAAGGTGTACTTAGCGTTAATGAATTCGTCATCGCCGGAGACAATCTCGTTTCCAAATGTCCTACTTGGTCATGGTAAATTCGCTTTCCCTTTCATTGAATAATTTATCTATGATTAAACGCAGTCCCTCTAGTATTAATGTTATAACTATATATCATCTGGCAGTCAAACATATGGGATTTGAGTCACGATTAATGTTTTTAGAAGGTATATTGATATCGATGGGGAAAAAAGTAATTTGCCTAGAATCTGGGGTTCTATCCATGCTGTTAATTAGAAACCAAATAAGCTAACTGCTCAAAGTCCTTATGAGAAAGTTTTAAATTAATGATATAAAGGTAGATGATATATCATTCTTTACCTCATGAGGCTTCTATTTTGTTTGTCAGGGAATCAGGTGATCCAAACAAGAGGAAGTCATATTTGCCATCTGATAAACAGTTTTTGATCACTAGAAATGGTAAAACAGTGTTTCCTCTTGAAGTCAGATTTTTTGTGCATTATCCTTGTATCGTAAATATGTTGTAAATTTCCTGAATTCTGATAGTGAACATTAATAGTCTTTTCCTTTTCAAATCTTAATGTAATTACAAGTTTGATTATGTAAACAACACCTAAGTTTAACATGAACTTCATTTCAGTTCCTTGTTTGCGAAGAGTTGCATCAATACAAGAAGAATATGAAGCTCTTGGAGGTGAGATATTGCTTGATGATGAAGAGAATGATGGTTGGTTGGCTACCCATGGGCAACCAAAAGGTATGTAGTCATCTAGAGATCTTTAATATGAAATATGAATTTTGTTTGGGTTTTGATTTTTGATTTTTGAGTATCTGTATAGATACCAAAAGTGATGAGGAGGAGCTTGTTCCTTGTATGGAAACCCTAGAAATAAGCAAGAAGAAGAACATCCAGTCAATTTCTTCATATTTTGGCACCCAGGAGGAAGAAGACATCCCAGATATGGAAGAGTTTGAAGAAGCTGACAACCTTATTGAGTCGGATCCTGTAAGATACACTTGTCTTTTGCTGTTTTTAATTGTTGTATTAAAACCCAAATAAGATAGTTTATATATTGCAATATTTCAGGCAACTCTTCAGCCTACATATCTGGTTGCACACGAGCCTGATGATGAGAATATTCTACGAACTCGAACTTATGATGTGAGCATCACGTAAGTTCTTCAACTGTCTCTATTCTGTTTTATAGTTGGATTTTAATATATCAAATTTTCATTTACATGATCTGATGTTTTCCTCTCCTTTTTCGCCAGGTATGATAAATATTACCAAACTCCTCGTGTTTGGCTTACTGGATATGATGAGGTTAGAACACCCGCAAACTTCAACTTAATTAATTAGTTATTCTGTGCAAAATACAAGTATTGAAACTTTGCCAATTTTTATATTTACAGTCAAGGATGCTTCTTGAGCCAGAGTTAGTCCTTGAAGATGTCAGTCAAGATCATGCTCGCAAAACGGTAAGCAGTACATGTTTGTTGGCTATCTGCAAGAAATACCAACATAATTTCATTTCTTTGTATTGCTGTGAAAAGTGCATTTATTTGGATGGGTAGATTTTTGGAAGTAGTAGTAGTAGTAGTATGGTGTAGTAATGAAATCAATGGAGGTTTTTGCAGCTTATGATATGAGTGATGATGAATTAATTGCAGGTAACTATTGAAGACCATCCTCACTTGCCTGGGAAACATGCATCTGTACATCCATGCAAACATGCGGCTGTGATGAAGAAACTAATTGAACCCCTAATTGCCGGAGGACTTGAACCACAAGTTGACAAGTAGTTTTCTTTTTCAACCAAACTCTTACTTATTATCAAATCACCAAATAACCTCTTTTTCTAAATTCAGACCTAAAAACAACACATGGATAGGATACAGAAAAAATACATTGTATATTGGGTTGGTTATCAAAGAAGCCACTGGGTGGAATAATTTTGCCAAAAAAAAAAAAAAAAACATCACTTTAAAATGACTTGGCACTTATTATTATTTTTAAAGTTATCAGAATTTCTGAAAGGGAATATGATTTATCAAGGTAATTAACTTTTCGGTATGTTCACATCTGGGTAATTATCTATTTTTTGTACATATCTAGGTAACAAACTTTTTGCAAGTGTTCACATATGATAATTATGACCTGCTATAGCAGGTTAAATCCTATATGTGAACGTTTTTAACAAGTTTGTTACCTAGATGTGTATAAAAAAAAATAGTTACCAAAATATGAACAAAACAAAAAGTAAAAATTAAATTACATGAATGGTCCCTATGGTTTGGGGGAATTTGTGGTTTTGGTCGCTAACTTATTTTTTTAACTTAAATGGTCCCTACTGTTTATTTTTGTTGCGCGTTTGGTCCCCGTCTTACCTAAAAATACTATTGTGCCCTTATTAATTTATTTTTTTAATTAATTTTCTTATCTATGTATTTATTTTTTTCATATTTAAAAAAATTAATAGACCACACATATTTGTATCTCCTCGGATGATCCCTACTATTTATTTTTTAATTAATTTAATTTTTTAACTAAGTTGGTCTCTACTATTTAATTTTGTTACGAACTTGGTCTTTGTCTTATTTAAAAAGATTATTGTGCCCTTCTTAATTTTTTTAATTAATTTTCTTGTTTATGTACTTATGTTTTATATGTTTAAGAAAAATTAGTAGACCCTACATATCTGTATTTCCTCACCATCCCATCTTTCATCATTCTCAACTTCTATTTATTTTTCATCTTTAGTGATATCGACGTCTTCATCATCACTTCTTTTTTCGGTCCTTCAACTCCGTTGAATCAACACCACAACCCACTAAAGATGAAGAGACAGTAGGTTATGGTGTTGATTCGCTAGAGTTGAAGCACAAAAAAAAAGGACGGTGAAAACGTCGATGTTACTAAAGATGGAAAAGAAATAGAAGATGGGGAGGATCAGAGATGAGATGATGAATTGTAAGACTCAAATTAAATTTCTCAAATGTGGTTTCAAGTTTACGGTGATGAGATAAATATATGTGGCGTATATTAATTTTTTTATAAAAAATAAATACATAAATAAGAAAATTAATTAAAAAAATTAATAAGGGAAAAATAGTATTTTTAGATAAGACAGAGACCAAACGCGTAACAAAAATAAACAGTAGGGATCATCCGAGTTAAAAAAATAAATTAATTAAAAATAAATAGTAGGGATCATCCGAGAAGATACAAATATGTGTGGTCTATTAATTTTTTTAAATATGTAAAAAATAAATACATAGATAAGAAAATTAGTTAAAAAAGTAAATTAATAAGGGTACAATAGTATTTTTAGGTAAGATGGGGACCAAACGTTCAACAAAAATAAACAGTATGGACCATTTAAGTTAAAAAAATAAGTTAGCGACCAAAACCACAAATTCCCCGAAACCACAGGGACCATTCATGTAATTTAATTTTTAATTTTCGTTTTGTTCATATTTGGGTAACTATTTTTTTTGTATACATCTAGGTAACAAACTTGTTGAAAACGTTCACATCTAGGATTTAACCTGCTATAGCAGGTCATAATGGTCATATGTGAACACTTCCAAAAAGTTTGTTACCTAGATATGTACAAAAAAAAGATAGTTACCCAGATGTGAACATACCGAAAAGTTAATTACCTTGATAAGTCATATTCCCTTTCTGAAATTAATGGGAAAATGTGTTATGTGTTGCAGGTACCTTTTTTTGTTCCTGAAATTCGTGGCTAGTGTTATTCCAACCATTGAATATGATTACACCATGGATTTTGACTTGGGGAGCTCCAGTACCTGATTTATGTTGGCGTCTTTTGTTGGTTCATTGTAAATATTTCCTTTGCAAAAAAACAACCTACTGAATCAACTCCTCAACTGTATCTGTTACTGTGTAAATTGCTGGAAACACTTGTTTTATTTATCTGTTTGTTTGCAACTGTTTGGAAATTCTGTGGTAACAGGCGAGAACTTATTTTGCAATTTGTCACATCTTGGTCTAGTACACACAAAATACACTACAACTTGTTCTTTTATGCCTTGTCCAGTTGTCCTACCTACTGTCTAACAAACATCTTATTCATTTTAGTTATCTAACTATAAATATCAATTTCACAATCACCTGGATTTCATTTTCAACATGCAATGCAATGAAATGAATCACTACAAAGCTCAAAGCGAACATAAACCTAATTGTATCATTCCAAATCGGATATAAATCCACACAAATTTTTTGATCCAAAATGGATGTGTACTCACTCTTTTAACCTGCTATCATACCCATACCCATATGCATAATACAGCCCAAAACAATCTAATATAAATTGCATCCAAGACAACAAATTATGAGAGAAGCAACACAAATACTAGTTAGAGTTTGTTGGTGAGATGTTGGAAACACCCATTTGGATGCAAAACATGACAGAGTATTTGTGATGGGTTTTCACAAGATTGCTATATTGCTTTCCAATTTTCTTATATGCAGCCATCACATGCTAGAGTTTGGGTGTGGCATTTGTGTAGAAATATCCGCTCTCTCTTAAACTTATGCATTGGGATAATGCAGATGTGAGTTTTCTTATATCGTTTCTAGTATGTGCTGCACTCAGAGTGATCCGCAGCCTGCAAGTTTATAAACAAAACATTATTTGATATAGTAGTAGTAACCAGAGACAATAGAAAAGACTATGACCCTATTTCATCTTTTCTTGTTTGGATAAATAATTTTGAAAAATACTTGAGAAAGCGGAGCTCACTTGAATAATGGAAGGAAAAAACGAGAACAAATTTTTAAAAAAGATAGGACTTAATGGAGAAAGATTCTTTTTTCTTGACTTCCCCTCTATTAAATTGTTCTTTCCGCACAAAGTAAAAAAGAAACACACATATATAGCTCACCAGATTAGGGCTGTTTCCCTTTGGCTTAATCCGGATAGAATGACTTAATATGTTAAGCCAAAAAAAGTTAGGAAAATCCTGGCTTAATGTATTCAGACCTATTTGACATTCTTTTTTCCTCCCACGCCAAAATTGGTGAATTTTATTAATTTTGGAATGGAAGGGTAAAATGGTCATTTAGCCACATTCAGACAGTTGTTCAGTCTAGAAAAACAAAAACAGACCTTATGTATGCAGCATTTTTTTCGAGACAAACTTCATTACACATACATGAGTTAATGGGACAAAAAAAGTAAAAAATCAACCCAATATACAATGTAAAAAAGAAGCAAGAAACCTGCATAAGTTAGGTGGAACAGTCGGGGGCCTGATTGCAGTTATATGAAACCCACATTTCAGCATGTGCCTGTATTATTTAAAAACAATCATGAAAAACTAAGCATAAAACATTGGTAACAAAAAGCTTTGAATCATTAAACAAAGATAAAGAAAAGAAAAAGAAACCGGCTTGCTTGGAGAGCATGGTCTTCACTCCCAACTATAAGAGAAATGATGTGACTTGTGATGGGAATCCCAGTAAGACTACGAAAGTCTTGCACCCGATTCCAAATAGCTTTTCTACGCCATGTCTCCTTCTTTGCCACCACCACAGCAGCTAAGTAATCACCATTTATTATTAGTATATCAATCAATAATTTATTTAACTTTTAAGGCCAAAAAATAATGTAATTTACCATGTGCAGCAGCAATGATGGGTACAGGGGTAGAAGTTGAAAATATAAAAGCACGTCCCCTTGATTGTATCAGCTGCTTCCACTTTTTGCTGTTATATATATTTACCAATTCAGAGCACAATGTTGTAATAGAAAGAAAAGAACGTAGGATGCTGTATAAGGATTAAGGAGACAAGAACCTGCAAGCAATGAAACCACCATGGCAACCCACAGCTTTACTAAGAGTGCCAATGCATATATCAACATCATCTGAACACCCAAACTCCTCTGGTACACCCCCACCACTCTTCCCACAAACAAGTGTTCCATGAGCCTACAGATCCAAAAAAAAAAAAGTCTGAATCTGATGAATATGAATATAACAGTAGAAGATATGATAATTTATACATGACTAAAAAATCAAGACTTACATCATCAACCACCAACAAAAAATTATGCTTCTTGCGAAGCTTGGAAAGCTGGACCATTGGTGCAAAGTCTCCATCCATACTAAACAAGCTGATAAAAGTCATAAAAACACATCTCCTTAATACACCTATCATATACACAGATGCAAGCCAATAGTTACAATTTAAACACTACACACATATGATATTCAACATAAACAATCACATCGCATCACACAACTACATGCATTGGGCTAGAGATTAAGACTGATGTCAATGGGATATTTGGAAAGTACAAAGCTATATTTGGCTTACCTGTCAGTCACAACAACTTTTTTCTTCATCATGCAATTCGATCTGCAACATATGAAAATGTCGAGCCTTATGACACGCGTAAGAATAATTCATCAATCGAAAACTGACTTAGAAATATGAAACCTACAGTAATACATTAAGGTGGGCCATGTCACAATGCCTATAGATAAAAACCTGCACAATTTCTTGCTTCTCTGCAAGCCGAATACCATCAATTATTGATGCATGATTTAAAGCATCAGAAAATATGGCAACACCTTCCTTCAAATGAGTTTTGTTTATATCTGAGAGAGAGCCGACATATCCAACTACTGTCATGAAAGCCATATTGGCTGAAAACCCTGTGGGACACAGAAGGCAGTCCTGCAGTAACCATAAATATGACATCATCAGCTTCCAATCAGTAATTATGGAATTGTTTCTCATATGGTTGCATCTTTTAATAGATGGAAAACTCATTTTGAATAACAAGATTACCACAAAACAATTATGCTATAGAAAGAGTGAGTTAAGACTTAAGAGTTAAGACCTCTTTATTCTTTGATTCTGCCAAACATGATTCCAATAATCTGTGATAAGTTGTGTAACCACAGATTAGAGCAGAACCTCTTGGTCCCATCCCATGTTCTTGAACTGCCTATTTATAGAAAGATATCATGCAATGTTATCACAAACTAGAAGCAATAGTACCAAAAGTTAGGTAAATAAGGAAAGATAAAAGGGGTTGATTAAGCTGGTATGTAATCCAAGATAAAATGAGTTAACATCAAACACCTACCTTTGTGGCAGCCTTGGCAACCATTGGATGTGAACTTAGCCCCAAGTAATCATTTCCAGAGAATAGAAGGAGCTTTCTCAATTGCTTAGAGCATGACCCTGATTCACCTTCAAGATCTGCATTGTCACATGTAAGGTCATCACCTGTGAAATTCATCATCAAACATTAGACATCGCTTCAATTCTAAACTGAATCATTAACAATTTAATATCATCCAAACCATTAATCAATCGATACATGACACTCTGCAAGCACCACAAAATATAGAATTTAGGTGCATGTCGAGTGTCGACATTTGTTCATACAACCTTGAAAATTATCATTATAAAAAATGTGCATGAAGTTTCCATATCCATGCTCAGAAAGGAAAAAAGGAAAAAAATAATAACAAAAGAATTACAAAATTCACATTGCACATAGATCGGAAGTGCTAAAGCTTGAAAGGTGGGAAAATCGTACCAGAACTGGGAACATCTAGGAGCCACCTGTTAAATGTAGACTCTGCAATCTCTATCTCAACAGAAGCTCTATCCCATTGGCGAATATCGTCGAACACCTTGAAGGCATGGTCAATTTTGGGTTTAATTTCGAAGGGGTAACTAGAGTAGTGAATGGGTCTTAGAGACCGCAAGACTTTCATAGACTCTAGTTTCGAAAGTGCCAGCTCTACCCATTCGTCCCAAGAGGACATCTCCATTCTCGGACAAAATGTGGAGATGCTTTCGACTTTCTAGTCCTCCAGATTCAGCTAAAGACACTTCCGTTTATGAGTTTATTATCATTGGGTTTGCTATAACTTGTAGCGTTTTTGGGAAGGGTTAGGTTTAGTTACGGAAAAACAGTTTTCATTTTCCGTTTTTTGTTTTCTTTTTTCGATTTTCGTTTTCCGTTTTCATTTTTCATTGAAAAATTTAGAAAACGTGTTTAGTTAAACTTATTAATTTTTCATTTTCAGTTTTAGAAAATTATAAAACGTGTTTAGATGTGTCTTTTTCTATCGGTTTTCATTTTTAAAAAACGGTAGCGGTGATAAGGTGTGGGCGGGGGCGGTGACGGTAGTGGGTCGGCGGCGGTGGTGGTGATGACAGGCGATGGTGGTGGCGGCGACAATTGTGTCAGTGGTGGTGATGACAGGCAGCAGCGGTGGTGGTGGTGCTAGTGACGGGTTAGTGGTGGTGGTGGTGGTGGTGATGGTAGGTCGGTGATTGTCGTGATGGTGTTGGGTGGTTGGGGATGCGAGTGTGTGTTTGTGTGTGTTTGTGGGGGTATGTATGTATGTGTGTGTGTGTATGGGTGGGTATGTATGTATGTGTGTTTGTGGGTTGGTATGTGTATGTGTGAGGGTGTGTGTGTGTGTGTGAGGATGGGTATGTATGTGTATGTGTGTGTGTTTGTGGGGGGGGTGTGTGTGTGGGGGTGGGTATGTATGTGTGGGTGGGTGGGTGTGTGTGTGTGGGTGGGTACGTATGTGTATGTGTGTAGGTTGGTGTGTGTGTGTGCGGGTTGGGGTGTGTGTGTGTGTGGGTATGTATGTATGTGTGTGTGTTTGTGGGTGGGTGTGTGTGGTTGGGTATGTATGTGTGTGTGTGGGTGGTGTGTGTGTATGTGTGAATGGGTATGTATGTGCGTGTGTTTGTGGGTTGGTGTGTGTGTGTGTGCGGATGGGTGTGTGTGTGTGTGCGGGTGTGTGTGTGGGGGGGGGTAGGTAGAGGTGGATGGGGTGGAGTGGGTGTGTGTTTATAGAAAAAATTTGGAATTAGAAAAATATGGAAAACAATGATTATCAGTTTTCCAAAATTTTCCAACTTCTTTGTAATTTTAGAAAACGGAAAATTTTCATTTTCCGTGAAAAAT